CACACACACAGCAGGCGGGAAGCCCAGACCTCCCGAGGGGGCACAAGGGGATCCGCCTGGGAAACTGTCTGGGAAGGAGGAATTTACAGACTTCTGTTTACCAAAACGAGGCCCGTAAAACACTTAACAGCAGCCAATTACAGGGGGACAGCTGCCATGGTTTAACCAGCCCTCTCCCCCCACACACACACCCCAGGCCCTGCCCGGCTGCTCCCACACCCGTCCCGCTCTCAGATTTTGTCAAGTCTCAGGCCTTCCAGGAGCTGAGCTTAATCTGGTAAACATCTGCTGCAGATGTGCCCCCTGTCCCCCACACAAGCTAGGCCAATTGGCCAGGCCCTCCAGCCTCAGCCTGCTCCTCAGCCGGGAGATGAGGCTTCACTCCAGTAAGCAGGTTTCCGAGCCATGAGCCTTCTCAGAGCATTTACTTGGCTTGTGGCCGTCTTGAGACTCAATCGGGGACTGTGTTCTCAGAGCTCATATGAGTGAGAACGTCTTCCTCACACAGCAGCACTCCAAGGGCTCACCTAAAACCCACTGAGGCAGAGAACATCCAGGAGCATCATCAGGGGCTGAGGCCCCACTGGGAGTGGAGTGTGGGGTGTCTCTGCTTCATTGTCCAAGCAGGTCAGCCTTGGGCCTTCTAGGAATATGGGGACAGACATAGGTTTGGAAGGCTGCCTGTAGTTTGGACCTGCCACTTCAGTGCTTGACTTCCACTGAGAGATTCCTCCGAGTGTGTTCCGTGGGGCCCACGAGTTGTTAAAAGGAATCCCACTAAAACAACACCGGGGTTCAGTGGTAAAAAGAAGTTTGGGAAACAGTAAAGCAAGGTTGAGTGCAGCTCTGCTGAAGGTCTTGTCGTTGACTTCACTGTGGTGCTGGAGAGGTTTAGTGCGTGGTTCCCTGGGCCTGGGACTCAGGGCACCCTTCTATCAAGTGACAGCTATGACAGATACCCCAAACAGGCACCAAGGATACTGCTGTGCTGCACCTCCCCGGGGACCACCGCCTGCCCAGCATTCGAAGTCTCCTCCCCTACTCCTGTCCCTCTGGGGAAACCCCAGGGACTCACAGCTCCCTTGTTGCTGCCCAGCGTAGCCTGAGAAGTCAGCTGTGTTAGGAATCTTGGGACAGCAGTGGGATCCCTAGTAGAAATTCCTCTGGGGAAAATGTTCTGAGCAGCAGTGTAGAGGGAACATTGTGGAGTGAGGCACAGCCCAGCTCTGTCCTGCTCCAGCTGTATTTTTTTCTGTGGGGTCAGAGGGCCTGCCTGGTAGGGTATCTCTGTGTTGATGCTCCAAGTGTCCTTCCTCAAATACCCGAGGGAGTTGACTGGACCCCTGATGGCCACGATGGGCTCCAGGATGGCCCTGAACCACAGCTATCCCATGTCAGCCTTCTTAGGCCGATGCTGATAAAGCCAGGAGTTGACAGTGGCTTCACGCTGCCGGGAAACAGACTTCAGCTTGGCCCAATCCCCTCACAGAGGTACCAGTGTCTGGCCAGGAAAAGCCAGACACCAGGCTGTGAGCCAGGCTAGAAGATGCTCAGGTCCTAGCAGCTGTCAGGGCCGGCAGGTGAGAGCAGGGACCAGATTGGTATGGTCTGATGGATGTGACCAGGGGCCCAAGTTCCCCAATCTTCCTATTAGGCCTGGTGGGGAAGGACTAGCCAAGAAGCCACGTTCCTGGTTGGCTGGTGGTGGCTTTGGCCATCCAGCTGTGGACTTCCCAGGCCAGTGCTCAGGCCTTTCTCCTGCAGGCTGGGAGGCACAGGTTGTGACTGGCATTCTTGTGCTGAGCGGGGCTCCTTAGAATGTTGGTTGCCTTGGAGGGATGGACCCCTAGGGCCATTTCTGAGAAGGGCTTGCCTGGCCTGATTCAAAGTCACCAAGCACAGGCTGTCATGGTTGGGACCAGCTCCCTTGCAGATCTTGAGCTCTGCTTGCCTCAGGGGCCTATGGAGGATGCAGGCAGGAGGCTGGGTCTGGCCCTGGCTTTCCCTTGGCTGGGAGCTCCATGGGGAGTCCGTCCACTGCGGCCTTCTCTCAAAATGCCTCTCCAAGCGCCTTTGTTGCCCAGGCTGGAAGCCCGGGGAACACTGAATGTTGCTGGGAGGGAATCAAAGGCAGCTGCCTCCAGCCTCCCCTCTCCCAGCCCATCAGCAATTCAATTTGTGCTGCACCGGTGGGATGGTATTAGTTGAGTCAGAGTTAATATGATGTATTGATGGGTTGATTTCCCACTGGTGGGCTGCGTCCGGGCTCTGCAGGGCATTGCTCCTGGGCCACCCACCGGCTTCTCGCCTCCCTGGGGTCAGGGTGGTGTGGGCCAGAGGGCTAGGAGCCACTTTTACAAGCCAGTCCTTTTGCTTCTCTAGCTCCAGCGTACCCCAGATTTTCGGGGAGTCTGGCATCCACCTTCCTACCCGTGAGCCACTTGGATCACCATGGAAACAGCAATGTTCTCTACGGGCAACATCGTTTCTATGGAACCCAAAAAGGCAAGTGCCGTGGGGCCTGGCATGGGGTGCAAGGTATCTTGGGGGTGGTTGAGGCTGGAAGCATTGGGGCACAGGTGAAGATGGCCAGTCTAGGTGAGCCCAGACCACCAGGCACAGGTGAAATGAGGAGTTGGGGAACATTCTGAAAACAGCTGTGCTCACTCCAGCTCTCACTTCCTGGCCCTGCCCTGCAGCCCCCAGCATCAGGAGAGGAAGCTTCAGTCTGGGGTGGGGAGGCTCACGGAAACTGCATTTCCCACTCACCAGCTGAGCCTTGGCCGACGAAGCTCAGCCCCCAGGCCCCACTCCATGGGAGAGCATAGTAAGGAGGGCTCAGCATGGGCATTGGCACAGGAAAGGCCTGGCTGGAGGTGGGACAGGGTCCCTGTCTCAATTTTGAGTTTTTTCCGGGGGGGGAATCTCCTTTGTGTTTTAAAAAGTCCAGCCACCAACACCCACACCCCCACCGCGTCTGGAGACTGGGGCAGAGGTTTGGTTAATGACTGTGTATCAAATGACCCACAGTAGGGTAGGATTCAAACCTAGACGTGGGGTCCAGAATGCACTTGGGGCAGGAATGGGTATAGAGTCCCAGGTGACTCCAGTTCTTGACCCTGGCTCTGGGAGGAGCTACTTGAGGAGATGCAGTTGGGGGGTGGATTCAGCTGAGATACAGAGAGGCTGGGGAGGGCTGGGGGGCAGTGGATAGCTAGACCTGTTGTGTGCAGCAGATGAAGAGTGGGTGGCGACAGGCACGATGTCACACCAGTCCCAGGAAACACCAGTGGTGGCAGAACATCCAGGAGGGCCTGGACAGGGTACGGGGGTGGAGTGGGGACAGAGAGAGCCTGCAGCCAATCCTCTCACTGTCTCACAGATCTGCTCCCCATAAGCCCCAGACTCCAAGACCTGGGGCATGTCCAGCTTGTCTAGGTCCTTGGGTTTAGCCTGCACTGTTGGGCCAGGAAGAACCCTCCAGCCACTGATGCTCAGACTGGCTAGCTGTGATTGGTGCAAGCACCCTGCTTGGGGCAGGACTGGGAACCCTCCCCTAGCCTCACCCAGGGGATTCAGCTTGCCCTGGGCCACACCCCCAAGCCTACAGCTGTTTTGACAGCATCTGTCAGGGGCTGGCAGGTGGCTGATCCCAGCCCCAGAAACATGACCCAAGAACCTGGGCCTGGGTACTCCCTCCCGGCACTGGGCTGGCTGGTGGTGTCTCCGCAGCGGCTGGCCAGGCCTCTCGGTTTTCACAATATTGTGGTGGAGCCTCATCCAAGAACGTTATTTGGTTTTGGAAATTGAGCTAATTAGGTTTCTGCTGGGCTCCCCCTCTCCTACTCCCCTTTCCCCCTTGTTTCTAATTAGCAGGAAATTGACAAGGAATTTACATGACTGAGGACAGTTTTACAAGTTCCAAAAGTTCCTTTTGTTTTCCCCCTGGTAGGCTCCCTGAGCTGTGGGCCTCACCCTGCTGCCACCCACTCAGCTGGGAGGGGAAGGAACCCTCCAGCCATCCCCCACAGGCAGTGACCTGGCCATAGCTGGACTTGTGGACATGGTGTCCCCAAGGCCCACTGAGAGACAGCATGAAGCAGACCCTGCCTGGCAGGAAGAGTTTACCGCAGGTGGAGGAGGTGGCACTACTGGGCAGCCATTCTGTGGACCAGCAGAGGGAGCCCATGGTGGACACTACCGCTTGCCAGGCTAGGTGTGGGGGGGGTGTCCTCCCCAAGGTATTCCAGACATGGACCTCTTACACCCAGCCCATCCTTCAAACACCCTAGGGACTCGCAGCACTTGGGATGGGGTGCTTTAGGAACCTCAGGCGGCCCTGTTCTCAGCACCATGTGGGTATATGGCAGGACATGTGTCTGGGCTGCAGGAGCTCTCACCACCTGAGCACACACAGGAGAGGCAGCTTTGTAGAAACATCTATATCACCCTCCCCCTGAAAACCTCCAGAGACACTGGGCCACCCCAAAAGGCTGGGCCTTTGTAGCTCTGAACAGCTGGGGCTGAACCTGGCGGGGAGAGGAGGAGTGTTAATGAGGACAAAACTTCATTTAGGGACGATAGAAAAGTTCTGTAAATGTGTCACTGAACTGTACACTTAAAGTGCTACATTTTAGGTTATGTATATTTTTCCACGACTTAAAAAAAAAAAAACAAAAAACAAATCAAAAGCCAGGCTTGAGAAGCAGTGATTAGGAGAATCGAGGTCTGAGGCCCACTGAAGCAAAAATGGGAGTCTGTTGGAAAAATAGCTAAAGCAAAATAAAAATTTTAAAAAGTGAGGGGGGGTCTGGGGACTTGGCTCGAGTGGTAGAATATTTGCCTAAGCAATCTGGAGACCCTGAATTCAAACCCCAGTACCACCAAAAAAACCCCCACAAGGAAACAGAAAACTTCCCAAGACAGAAATCTTGAATAAGTGCCAGCTAGGGTTGGGGGAGGGCACCTGGAGCAGATGTCTCAGAGAACCTGAACTCTCCATCACCTGCCCCAGGCTTCCTGTTGACCATGGCTCTTTGGCTTACAGATAACTTCTACCTGCGAAATCTGCCCCCTCAACCTCCGATCCTGCCTACCAACCACAACTTCCCCAGCGTGGCCCGTGCTACCCCTGCCCACCCCATTGGCTCCTGTAGCCGGGACCGGGTTGAGGCTGGTCCCCCACAGAAGGGCCCTAAAGAGTTTGACCGCTTCCTCATGGGCAAAGAGCTGGGCAAAGAGAAAGCCAGCAAGGCAGCAGAGGGCAGGGAGCGGCCAGCAGCAGAAGAGGACAGTGGCAAGGAACGGCACAAGCTGGTGCCACCCATGCCAGCTGATGGGCCCTGCAAGGAAGCAGGTGCTGCACCCCGGGGCTCCTGCAATGGCCGCCCTAAGCACCTCACCTCCTGTCTCCTCAACACCAAGGTGCTCAATGGTGACGTGGGCAAGGTTGCTCTGGCCAGCTGTGCAGGGGGTGTGCTGGGGCGGCCCGGAGTAAGTGTGGCAGCTTCTGGACGCTGTGCCAAGGAGGTGGGCCCCGTGGAGCCCGGGCCAGCCTTCAGCGAGTGCCTGGAGCGGCGGCAGATGCTGCATCACACCGCGTCCTACACGGTGCCATCCGGCCTGCCCACCGGGCCACCCCCACCCCTCAGCACAGCCGCTGGCTCTTTCCCCTGCCTTCAGCTGCACACAGGCCCAGATGGACTCTGCCCTCTGCAGGACAAAGTCTCCCGGGACCTAAAGGCCAGTGGGCCCACCTTTGTGCCTTCTGTGGGACACCTGGCTGACAAGAGCCGCCCCTTCCAGGCGGCCGAGGCCTGTGCTGTGGCAGGTGAGGGCAAGGACCGGCACCTGGATGGGGCCATGGCCCCTGACCATGCCACGCCCTATGGAGTCTCCTATGCCCACCTGAAGGCTGAGGGCAAGGGTGAGCGGCGGCCTGGGGGCTTTGAGGCAGCCCTCCACCCCCGGCTAAAGGGGCTAGAGTATCTCAGCACAGGCCCTGAGGCCCCCTTCCCTGGACTCCCCAAGGGCGGTCTAGACAAAAGCAACTACTTCGAGTTGCCGGTCCCTTCACAGGACTGTGCCCGGCCCAGCCACCAGGACCCGCTGGGCGGGAAGGCTGCCCAGGCCTGCTGCACTTTAGACAAAGCACCCAGCAAGGAGGCCCCCACCGGCCCCCCTGGGGCCCAGAAGGTGGCCCGGATCCGACATCAGCAGCATTTGGTGGCCCCTGAGCTGGAGCCAGGGGGCAGTGGGGCTGAGGCTAAGCGCAAGTCCTTGGAGCTGGCATCTCTGGGCTACAGTGGGCCCCACCTACCCCCATGGAGTGTCCAGACAGGCCAGGGCACCCCCATGGCCATCAGCGAGGAGCGCAAGGGCAGTGCCTACCTGGACCCCTTTGGCAGTAGCTTGCAGCAGGCAGCCCTCCTGTCCCAGGAGCTGCCCACCCCACCGGATGAGGTCTCTGCCATGAAGAATTTGCTCAAGTACAGTAACCAGGCCCTGGTGGTGGGTCAGAAGGCACCCTTCGTGGGCCTGGGCAGCCTCAAAGCTAGCTGTGTCCAGCAGGAAGCAAAGTTCTCGGCCTCCAAGGGCCCAGGCCCAGTGGAGAGGCCAGATTGTGCCCGCAGCCGAGAGCAAGATGCCCCACATGGAGATGGGGAGGTGCGGCAGCCTCCTGTGGGCATTGCAGTGGCTTTGGCCCGGCAGAAGGACACAGTAAGCAGGCCTGACACAGTCTACAGCAACAACAGTGGACGGCAGGGCCGGGCTGCCCCTACTGTCAGAGGTATGGCCCATCTTGGGTAGGGAAGCCAGCTGGGCACTCACAGAGCTTAGGTCCCTACCACTGCCTTGGTATCCCTGTGGATACCCCTGACCCCCGAAGGCCCTCTGAGGCCTCAAGAGCCAAGGGATCCTCCCCTCGGCCGCTGACTCAAGGCAGGATCACAGCTTGCTTCAGCCAGTGGCTTCCTAGTCACCACAGCCCTCGTTTTTCTGCCATCTTGACCCTGTGCAGCTGGTGCGGGGCCACGTGTACACATGCTGGACCTGGAAGGTGAGGAGGAGAGGACACGGATGTGTGATGACCGCCTGGGGCTGGCTGGCCGTGAGCTACTGCTACAGTAAGAGTCAGGCTGTGGATCCTGGGCCTTCTGCCCAGGTCACTGCTGGGATCAGAGGCTTCTAATGGAAGACCCTGAGCCTGGGGTCTGCTGGGAGCATCCTCTCTTCATTTCTCCTTCCAGGTTGACTTAGGGTGTGGGGAGGAACAGAGTCGGCCAGGGTGCTGGACTGACCCTGGCGTTCTTACAGGGACAACAAAGACCTCGTGGAATTTGCTCGGATCCACCCCTCGAGCAGCTGTCCCGGAGACCTGGCCCCCCACCTCATGATGCAGGGCAGCCAGCTGGGCGGGGACCCAGCCCCCCACCCCCACCCTGCCCACCCGCCCTGGCTGCCCCGCACCCGCAGCCCCTCCTTGTGGATGGGGGGACATTCCTACGGTCAGTAATCCAAGGGCAGGTGGGGGCTGCCCTGGGACTGACAGTGGTCTTCTTTGGGGGACCTTGCCAGCTTGACCACTGTGCCTCTGCTCCCCAGGCCTTGGGCACCCTGCCCTACACCAGAACCTGCCCCCTGGCTTCCCTGCCTCTGTGCCCGGCTCCATGGCCTCAGTGTTCCCCCTGCCCCAGGACACCCCCACACAGCTGGTCATCCTACCCTCGGAGCCCACACCCCACACCGCCCACACACACTGGGTAAGAGCCCCTTCAGCCTCACTGTTGACACATAGGGCTTTTGGCAGGGGTTCTGAGGAAAGCAGTAGTAGCCTCTGGGAAGTGGGGGAGGTGAGGTGGGTGCCTGGCCAGGGCTCAGGAGGGTGACATGAAGTGGGTGGTCTGGGGATAGGACTGTGATAGGCTGTGGAGGTTGGAGGGGCAATGACCTGGTGGGGAAGGGGAAAGCAGCCCAGGGTGGGCCTGGCTGGAGCTGACGGCTCTCTGGCCCTGCTCACAGCTGAAGTCATGGACCAGGCCTCACTGTGGCCTCCCATGTATGGAGGCCGGGGCCCTGCCTCGCATATGCAGCGCCCAGGCCAGCTCCCCGTGTACTCAAGGTCCCAGCTGTTGCGGCAGCAGGAGCTGTACACCCTGCAGCAGCAGCAGCAGCAGCAGCAGCACCACCAACAGCAGCACCACCAACAGCAGCAGCAGCAGCAGCAGCAGCGGGCTGCCCACTTCCAGGTATCTCCCATGGCTACACCCTGCTGGGACCCAGGGCAGTTCTCCCCCCATCTGGCTCCAGTGTATGGCCACATGGGTACAGAGGGTCAACTCAGCTGAGCCTCTTCCCCCATCTGACAGCGGAAGCCTGAGGACCACCACGTGGAGCTGGAGGAGCCCACCCAGGAGAAGGCCCCGAAGTCCACCCACAAGCCAGTTGCCTTAACCCCCATGGCCAAGAGCACCCCCTCGCCCAACACTGCAGGCCCGGTCAAACTGTCTCCCTGCTGCCACTCGCCCACCGTGAAGACCCCTGCCAGCTGTCCCACACCACCACCTTGTCCCAGTGCCCGCTGCACTTTATCCGTCTGCCCGGCCAGCAGCCCTGAGCCTGGCTCCAAGGTGCCCAGTACCGAGGATAAGAGTGGGGAGGGCCGGCAGGCTGGAGCTGACCTTACCACGTTGGAACCAGGTGAGAATGGACAGCACTGGTCTGCCATTCCCAACTACACCTGACCCAGAGGGGCAGAGCTAATCAGGAGGGGCTTCCTTCTCCTACTCACTCTTCTACATTAGGGCCCCAGGCAATGTGGCCTTTCTCCTCCTTTTTCTTCCCTCATCATGAAGCTCCCTACTTCCCTCCCAGCCCTTGGCAGGTGAGGTGGGACGAAGCCCAGGCCCCGCTGGCCAGCACTGGGTCCTATGAGTGATGGTGTGCCTGGCCCGCCACTGATGGTGGACATATGCAAGATCTGTCCCCTGGGTTTCAGCAAAGCTGAGCAAGGGGAGCATGTCTTCAGCCACTGGGGGCAAAAGATGTAGCCTGCCTGGGCCTGAGGCAAGAAGGGTCAGTCTGTGATAGGGTCTTGGACCATCTGCCCAGCAGCTCCCGTAATTCTGACTCAGGCTGAGAGCTTACTCTGCAAACCCACGTGGCAAACTGAAAATCTGTCCCAGTTCCACAATAGGGAGACTGAGCCAACAGAGGTTTGGGGTTTTTTTTTTTTTTTTTTTTTTTTATTGCAGTTAATGGGGCGTAAAGCCTCTTGCATCCTGTCGGCTTGTTCTGGTTCAGGGAAAACCCTGATTTCAACATCATGTTTTAAAATCCCCCCCTTTTCTGGTCAGCTACACCACCCCATGTTGGAGGTGGCCTTGAAGACTCCTGAGACTTCCTGACTGGGAGGAAGGATGGCTGGGGTGAGGGGCTCACCTCGTATTGTCCTAACATGCCCTGTCACCATCTCATCTGTCTTACAGGCCTAGAGGAATGGCAGGACCCTCCCTCCAGGTGTGGGTCTGTCCCACTCCCAGCCTTCTGACCTCTGCTCTCTTTCACAGAGCTGCCTCCAGGATTTCTGCGCCCCGCAGCCAGCATGGGCTTCTCCTCCCTTTCCTCAGATGTACACTCCTCTGACCTCCCAGATCCCGAAACTATGCAAACTGCCACCCCAGGGGCCCAGTCTGAGCCCACAAGGACGTTCCTGCCCAGGGAGCCATCTCCCTGCAGCCCTGGGAAACTGGAGGGACCCCGGCTGCTCTCAGGGGCCAGGGAGGCCACCCAGAACCTTGCCGCTATACCCCACCCCGCCGAGCGGGGGTCCCCGGGGAAGGCAGAGGACCCCAGCCCACTTGAGGGCCTACAAGAACTGAGATTTGGGGCTCTCCTTGAGGGAGGGGGCCCTGAGGCCACTGACCAGGCTACTTCTACTCAGGGAGGGGCGCAAGAGGAGAGGACTAGAGAGGAGGGGGCACAGGGGCCCCTAACAGGTACCTCCCCACAAGCGCCAGAGAAGCTAGCAGGGAGCCCGGGTGCCCTGGACAAGGATGAGGAGGGTACCCAAAAGGCCCTGGAGAAGGCCCAGATGCAGGAGGAGGAAGCCCAACTGGGGGAGGAAAGTGTGGGGGACTCAGAGGAAGAGGGGAGGGCTCCCAGCTGCAGCCACCCACCCAGGGCACTGCTGGGCTTGGATGCCTTGGTAGCTGCCACTGTGGACCTGGGAGACCTGCCTAGCATCAGCCTGCCAGATCCTCAGCCACCCATGGCCTCTGGGTCCCCAAACACTGCTCCCCTGCCCTGTGGCTCAGGGATTCATGGAATTGCCCTGCTCAGCGAACTAGCCGACCTGGAGATCCAACGTCAGAGGAGTGAGCATGCCACACAAGGTAAGCCCTGGCCACAGCCATCCTCCCTAAGACTCTGAGAGTTGGCTCCTCAGGCTAGCTCAGAGTCAGCTGACTAGACAGTGGCCTGGCTCAGTTGTCCCTGAAATAAGGAGGACTCTTAAGGAGTGTGTCATCCCTATGTAGACTCTTGTTCATGAAAATCAAAGGTGTGTGTGCCATCTGCTATAGGATCCCCGACAGCACTGGTGATGCCCACTGGTTCCAGGCAGGGCCCTTGGGATGAGGTCCATCCCTCCATGGTTTTGGGGTGGGGGGCTTCTGCCCCGTGCATTTCTCATGGGAGATACCAAGGCCCAAGGATGGAGGTTAGATTGAGGCCTCACAGCAGGAACGGGACCAGAAGCTTGGCCTCCTTCTCCTCTGCCAGGCCTCTACCACTCAGCTGTGGAAAAGGTGGCACCAGGCTGGGATCAGCTGAACCCCTTCAGAGCACCCATGCACCCCACCAAAGATGGGGCCAGGGTGGAAGCTTGTAGGGATTTCTGCTCCAGGCTGGCCTTTGGGACAAGGAGCTCCTGGCCCCCCCCCCCAGCCCCCCAGGGACCCTGAGGTAGGGCTGAAACAGCAGGGTGAGGAGAGACTGGAGGCCCCGTGCCAGGCTGGGGCCACAGTACTTCAGATACCCAAGGGCAGTCTGCTTGACCAGCCTCAGCCCCTCCCCATGCAGGGGACCCCACATGACCCCCTGTTCCCCTCCATGCCAGAAGCCCCCTTTTTATTTCCAGAGCAGCGACCACCTTCCCTTGGAACCCCAGAGGAAGCCCCTCCCTGGTGGGGAGTACCTCATCCAGGCATTGTGTTACAGGATATTTATAGAAAGGACCTAACAAAGTCCTCAGGCCTTGTTTTCCTGTTGCATAAAGCTCTCTGTGCCCTGTGTCTTTTGTGCAGTGTGGAGATAAAGTGAGTGTTCTTGTAAAGCTAATTTTCCTGAAGGCCTCTGTCAGTCTTCTGCTAGGGGCTGCTACAGGGCGGCCTCAGGCCCACAACAGGCTGGATCCTGGACAGGAGTCACTGGGCAGGGGGGCAGCACCAGGAAGTACCTGCCCTGGAGACCCTGCTTCTAGGAGGGGCTGTGCAGAGGGAATAAGCAGGGAGCCCTTGCTGGGATAGGCTCCCAGCTGGACCTCCAGGGAGGCCTTACTTGGGCCTCCTGGTCACTGGTGTCAAGACTGAGCTTCCAGGGGCTCCTGGGACATGGAGTAGATGCCAAGCCATGTGTGTGTGAACACACACGCACGCACACCACGTGAATGGCAGCAGGACTGGAGCCCATTCATTGAGTAAACACATTAGAGCAGGTGTCCTGGGTGGGAGGGCACATGGTGTAAGCTAGTGTGGGCACTGAAGCTGTCAGGTCAGGCCAGCTGCAGTCCACCCTCCCGCTTCCCCTCTTGAAGAAGCCATACTCCATTCCTCTCCTGCCCTGCCCCATGTCCCCCATCTCCCCAGCCCTGTAATGGGCTGTTCCTAAGCCACAGACTTTGTAGTGTCCCTACAAAGTGCAGTGGCTGTTGTGACTGGTATCAGTCAACTCAGCTTCATCCTGCACCTCACAGCAGGGTCCACAGAGGCGCAAATGGGAGAAGGAAGTGCTGAGTCAGGCCCGTGGGGCTTGGCACCCAGACAGAGGGGTATGGGTTCCAAGGAAAGCCTTGAGTGACTCAGACCCACCCCATAGGCCTGGCAGAGCCAGGGCACCCAGAGCAAGAGCAGGAGAGGAGCAGAGGAACTCTGATGCATCACAGTGACCCCAAGAGATGGAGACCTGGGCATGTGGCTGATGGGTTTGCAGACAGGCCTTCACTGCTGATGGCAGAGGAAGCTGTGTGCTCACGCTAGGAGAAAGCCCTCATCCTCCTCCACCCAGCATGCCAGGGACCCACAACTTGTCTCTAGGCTGGGGATTTCCTGTGGTGGAAATGCATAGCCCTAGGCTAGAACTTGTGCCCAGAGGTTTGATCATCTGCCAGCTGCCCCTCCCGATACCTCTTGGTATTGAAGGAGACTAAGCCTCCATCCTCTGGACTCTACCTCCTTGCCCCGTGTCAGTTGTGTCCCCCCCCAAATATTTGACAAAGGTGCCCATCACTTTGTAGGGGATTCTTTGGCTGGGGTTTGCTGCTGTTTCCTTCTGCTTAGATTTCAGGGGTGTATCTGTGGCAAGGGCCCATAGAACAAGACCACATCCTCTCCTAGGTGCCCTCGGTGGCCAGGAGGTTTTGATTTGTCAACATGGCCGTGTTCACTCCCTTTCTGCCCCTCAGTAGTCAGAAGTGCTTGGTGAGAGGTGATGTGGAACCACTTGAGGCTCCTCCTTCCTCTTCTCACACCCCTTCCTGTGCTGGTTTGCTGGCAGCAGTGTGACCAGTGGATTCTGTGTCTTTTCAGCTACTATACTCCATCGCTGCCACTGCTTATTCTGATGACCAAATTGCCCCAAGTTTGATCAGTGGACCCCTTCCTTTGGCCAGCTCCTGTGTGTTTTCCATGTGTCTCCTGTCACTCTTCCTTGCTTTCCGGAGTAATTCTACAGACCCCCCCCCCAACCCCCAGCCTCAGGCTGGGAGCAGCCATGTCTCTGAGGGGCCCGTTTCCTTCCAGTGCAGAATGGTGTTAGGAGTCCAGGACATTAGGGATACTCAATGCCACTGGGTGTTACTGTTCGCAGGCACCCCTCAAAGGACACCACTGCCTCCACTCTGACCCCATGCTGGGTCATCCTTCCCCGCCCCTCCCCAGGTCTTCCCTACTCCTGCCATCACCAAGGTCACTATGAGGGTGGCTTGTAGCACCTGTACCACCCCCTACCTTGAGGCCTCAAATGACCCTCCCATGTCTCCTTCCTTACCTCTGGCCAGCCCATGCCCTCTACCCCCCACCCTAGAGTCAGAGCATGCTGGAAATTTCTATGTCTGTGTGTTCAGTCAAAAGGACA